GGTAGAATGAGGAGGAGGGGACGCAGCAGGGTTGCCGTCCCCACCATCCATGGCGAATAGCCCTGAGGGGATAGTTGATGCAGCTGGATGAAAGGCTCAGCAGAGATCTACGGCTACGAGGCTTGTTGAACCACTAGGTGGAACAACAACCCCACTTTCTAGAAAACTCCTCGCATGCAACGTCATGACCGCACCGCGGTGCCCCATACTCTCCCTCGCCACCGTCATGTGGGTGGCTGCATCGTCGGTGCGAGTCGCAGGCTCGAAGCCATCCAGTTTCCCACCATGCTGTATTAGACTGCCCAATGGCAACGAGTACTGCTGCTGATTCATGCGACATTGGGCAAGGTGGGCTGAATCTGACTCAGCCCAACGGGCACTTGACTGCAGTTACCGCGCTCCTGCGCGGCGCCGCGTCGATCACGTGGGAAGATTTACAGTGATTGCCGTGACAGGCGCAATTACTGTAAGTGCGCCGTCAATCTCGGCACTAACATGGTGATTCGGTATCAGACGAAACGGCTACAAGTACCTGGAAAAACAGATTGTACAGAAAACAAAACCTGACTCATCAGACAAAACATACATAGCTTGTCTTATCAATCAGAAAACATAAAACCAACACTTAAAAATCAGAAACTGCAGCATTTCAGTCTTGTTTCTCAGAAAAACAGACAAAAATGTCTGATAGCGAGGTCCCTGCCGTATGTTTACGCAACCAAGTTGGATCTAAGCTGGATCCCTCGAGGGAGGCATCACGCCCCTCACTAGGGAAGCAACTGAGTTAGAGCAAGTGCCAATGGCACTTTCTTGAGTGCAGGCGACACAACTATGGAGGAAATAAAGCCAGGGAACGGCATGTCCCTTGGTTCTATGCTGGGTATTTGTGGAAAGCGAGAATCCGGTCTGATTGAAGCCAGCCCACTAATAACACTTCACAGAGCGAAAGGAGTAAGGGGCACTGGTGAACGGTACAAACAAGGGGATGACAAAGAGGGAAGGATTACTTTAAAATTTGCGAGCAGTGAAGTAGAAAGGGAAGAGGGAAGACAGTGCAGGCAAGTTTAATGATGGAGAAAGACAGTCAATCACTTACGCCACGGAATATGCAAAAAACCCAATTCTTCTGACAGTCCCACCAGCCACTCCCCCTTCACAGTTGTCCGTGTTGTAAGCATAGTAGCCCGGACAACTCAGAGGGCTACCGATGTTGACAACACCATAGAAAAACGTGGCCTTGCCAGCCACTGCAGGTGGGTACTGGGTACAACCAGTCGGGTTCAGGCGGATGGTGTAGGGCCGGGAGGTATTGTCCTTGGCTGCTGGGCTTGCGATAAGTGTGACGCCGTAGGAACTGACTGTGGAGCTTCCTCCTGCGAAAGAATGGTGAAAGGAAGGAATGAGTGGGGCAAGTGCAGGGCAGGGAGGAGGGAGTGTGGCAAGTGGAGGGATGAGAGTGGGGCGAGTGAGGAGGGACGAGTGTGACGAGTGAGGAAGGGAGAGTGGGACGAAGGGAGAGAGGAGAGAGTGGGTGAGGGATAAGCTCACCCTAGACACATTCAGTGGCAGTCATCCCATAGCCTTCAGGCCGACCGGAGAGCAGAGCGAGTGGGAGTAAAAAGCAGAGAGCAGAGAGCAGAGAGCAGAGGGAGCATGCACTGAGCAAGCTTACCCAGGACACAATCGGTGGAGGTCATCCCGTAGTCTGCAGGGCACTCGCAGAAAGGCGAGTGAGGAGAGGAGACAGCAGGTCGAGTGGACGAGTGGGCGAGTGGGCAGAGAGAGGAGACTCATCCAGGATACATTCGGTGGAGGTCATCCCGTAGCCATCAGGGCACTCGCAGTAAGGCACCTGCATCGAATCGTAGCTTGTTGGATATAGCAAGTGGTTTTCATGGAATCAAACGACTCACCCGCAACACAGTCGGTGGGAGTCATCCCGTAGCCAGCAGGGCACTCGCAGTAAGGCACCTGCACCGAGCTGTTGGAATATGCAGGCACGGTCTTGCAGGTGGCTCCAGTGGGGCAGGCGCCACAGGGTGAGTCTGCGGGGTGGGGATGGGTGCAGTGCGGTATGTGAGAGCAAGGTGCAAAAAAACGACGTTTTTTTCAAAATTTTATCGTAAAATACCGTATCGTAAGAAACGATCGTAAAAAACAATAAAAAACGATTTTCAGAAAATAATTGATTTGGGTGGAAAAAAACCATCGTTTTTTCAGAAAAGGTACAAAACTGCTGCTGTAACAGGGGGATTGTTTTGTGAGTAGAATGTGTTGGCTGTTAGAAGTGCTGCTGATGCACTAGGAGATTGTTAAAAGTGTTTTTTGGGTCCAACAGCAATTTTTTAATCGAGGCGCTATTTTTTTGTCTAACAAAAAAAGTCGTTTTTTTCCCAAAAGGTGCCGTAAAGAACAATCGAAAAATACAATCGTATTTTTCGAAAATCGTTTTTTTCCACCTTGTGTGAGAGCAATGCTAGTAAGTCACCTGCAGCTCACTGAATCTGGTCCCTGGCACAGTCTTGCAGACGGATCAGTGGGGCAGGTGCCACAGGGTGAGTGAGTCCGAGGGGTGGGGATGGGTAAAATGCGGTATGTCAGAGCAATGCTTGTGGGGGATCGAGGCTCGGGAGGGGCAGGCGCCACAGGGTGAGAGTGAGGAAGGCAGGAAGCAGGGGAGACGCAAGGGAGGGTGTTTTTGAGACGTCTCAAAAACACCCTCGCTTCTCGGGAAGAGCAGGCGCCATAGGGTGAGGGTGAGGAAGGCAGGAAGCAGGGGAGAGGGAGAAGCGATTGAAGAAAGGCAGTAAAATCATCATGCGTGAGGGGTGGGCATGGGTGCAGTGCGGTATGTCAGTGCGATTGCTGGTGAGGAATTCTCGCGCGAGTGGAATGAGGGGAAGGAGGTAGGCCAACAGAAGAACAAAAAACCATTCAGAGCATGACACACTCTCACTTTGGCATTGTACAAGATGACATTGAGAAATGTATGTGCGCTGTGATGAGAGCAGGAATGATATACTCAATCCACAGGCAGGAATGCAATACTCACTAACTCACTCACTCACCCCACTTGCAGTAGCGCTCGCCGTTTTCATCAACCTCGCAGGTGCCACCAGGCTCACAGCCCAACGCCGCACAGGCAGTATCATTTGCAGCAGAGGCGAAGAGGCAGAATCTTTAGTTCCACACCTGCAGTCGCTGGTGGTGCTGATCTTTAGGCTACGGCGTGGCAGATCTTTAGGAGCGCCTCAAAATCAGACTCACGCCTTTCCATTCATGCATTCATTCACCTGCGGTCGCTGGTGGTGCTGTTTCGTCTCCATACACAGCAGTCAGGCTACGGCGTGCCATGCTGTGAGCCATACGTTTCACCGAGTCGTCGCCATATGCTGCCGTCATCAACTGAACTGCTGCAGAGGACAAGGGAGAGGATGTGCGGGGACGAGAAGAGAGATCAGATATGCGAGAGGAGAGAACAGAGTGGGAAAATATCGAGGTAGGAAAGAGAACAAAATTGAAGAGAAGAGAAGAGAAGAGAATAGAGAGAGGATGGAGCTGAAGTACAGAAGACTGACCACAGATTAGGGCAAGGGCGAGCAGCAGGAGTCCGGCACGAGAGGCGCGCATCGACCCCATGATGATGACGGCGAGCTTTCCGAAGTGGTTAAGACCCGAAGAGGAGCAACAGTGGCGCAAAGGAGGAGTTTGCAAGCTGGGAAGAGCAATCTTGCTTTGAAAATGGACTTTGCTGAGCTATCCTCGAGCTTGATTTATGATGGAAGCATGACAGCCGCTGGGTCATCGTAGAGAATCGAAGCCTACAGCAGTGAGCATTACATGAATTATTGGAACGCCATGTGCGAGATGGGATTGGCTCGAACGAGTTTGCGAAGAGACGAAATGACTCTGAATCTGATGCGTGCGACGGCTTGGCGAGGGGTCCATAAGTCAGCTGATTCTTTACTCGACTGCATCGCAGGAACAAAATTATTGGGGAGAAGGACGGGGTGCATTGTGTCGTTCACGAATCACATTCCATGACACAATGCGGTGCGTTCTCTCCTTCGTCACTTCCTTCCGTTAGCGGCTCCCAAACAGGTTCGGCAGTGGAAAAGCGCGACTAGGCGAAAATATCACGTGACCTGAAGCTGCATTATATATGCGACTAATATGCGACTTATCTGTTGGTCGCAGGGAAAAGGCTTCATCTGCATTATCAGTCGCATAGCGAAAGAGAAAGTGGCAGCTTGTCTGCATTATTAGTCACAGAGAAAGAGAAAGTGGTAGCCCGTTCCCGTTGGCTATCGAACAAGGCCGTCACAGAGAAGAGAGAAAGAGGTAGCTAGTCGTAGGGCAAAATCAGAGCCGCAAGTAGCAACAGACTGTTGGGAGGGAGGACTGCTTGTTTCAACGACGCGTTACAGGTTGCGAATCTCGCCTGGCGGACCAGTCGGACTTTTGTTGCGAATCCTCGTCATCCGATCCGAGTTTCGCACATCGCAGTGCTGTGGTAGCTGGGCCATTTTCGCCAGCCGTACCCTTTAACAGTATGTCCGGCATGCACCCGGATGCATAAATGCACTCGATTTTAAAAGCCATCATACCCAGAACGTTAGCATATCATGTGCGCTTAGTTTTGTCATTATTAGACACTCACGAGTGTCCTAAGCATGTTTTGATAGATATGTGCTTGATCATAGACATACAAGACGGCAAGGACACTAGAAAACCAGCCCTAACCCGAGCTCCATGGAAAACTTGTAACGTAGTTGCAAAATGGAAAGCCTAAGCCTTCCAATTAGCTACAGAGCAGCGCACACTGTATTCTCAGCACATTACAAAGTACAGTTACAACTGTAGATACTAAAACATACAACCAACCAGAAAAATCCAAGCAAACAAGCAACCCTAGGTAGTAGGCATGCGCAACGGTCTAAGGTGTGTCTCATTTGACAGATGATACACAACACAGAGCGTAGTACACATGTGCAACCAAGTTAGACGTGAGGCGGAGAGCACATCACAGAGCGGATTGGTCCAGGTGTGTCCATATCCCTGATGCATGGTGAAAACAAGGGGATGACAAAGAGGAGACGATGTTCAAACGTGTAAACTGATGATTGAAGCAGCAAGGGAGGCGGAAAAGCTAGTGCAGACATTTCGGCTCAATTCAAACCAGGCAGGATGACGGAGAGGGTTCAAAGGACAACTTGAAGGACCAACGAACCACTTACAGCGCAGCAAATGCAGAAAAAGGTCTAGGCAAAAATTCCCAGTAAGCGGTAGGAATAGTTGTGCCTTCACAGTTGTCCGTGCTGTACAGAGTGGCATCCCGGCACGCCGGAGTGTTGGTGGTGTTCCACACGGTATAGATTGTTGTGTACTTTCCAGCCACTTCTTCAGGGTACTGCGTACACCCATCCAGGTTCCAGCGCAGGGTGTAGGGCTTGGATGCGTTGTCCTTGGCGGTTCGATTCGCGATGAGCGTGAAGCTGGTGGAGGAGACTGTGGAATCGACACCTGAAGGAAAAGTAGCGCAAGGAAGGACTCGGTGGGAAATGATTTTTTGCTTCTTTATGCAAGAGAGGAGACGAGACAGTGGGGCGCGTGAGGAGAGGAGAGAGTAGGGCGCGTGAGGAGAGAGAAAGGCGAGCAAAGAGGAGGAGAAGGACTAGTGAGGAGAGGAGACAGCAGGGTGATTAGGGAGAGAGTGGAGACTCACCCTCAACACATTCGGTGTCAGTCATCCCGTAGCCTTCAGGGCACAGGCAGTAAGGCGCCAGCACCAAGCTGTCATTCTTGGCCGGTGTGGTCTCGCAGGTGGCTCCAGTGGGGCAGGTGCCACATGGCGAGTCTAAAGGGTGGGGCGGGGATGGGTGCAGTGCGGTATGTGAGTGCAGTGCGGTATGTGATCGCAATGCTAGTGCCGGATTGAAGCTCCAGAGGGACAGGCGCCACAGAGTGGAGTTAAGGGAAGCGGCATGCAAGGGAAAGGCAAGGGTGAGGCGAGGGAGAGGCAAGGCGGAGGGAGACAGGAATGCATGCGTTGCAAGGGGTGCATTGACATACAAAAGCGGACAGCCATGCTCACTCACCCCACATGCAGGCAAGCTCTCCATTCTGGTCCACCTCACAGTGGCCGTCAGGGGCACAGCCCAACGCCAAACACGCCACGCTTCCTGCAGCACACAGGCAACAAGGGCTCGTGAATGGGCTGCAGCACACAGGCAACAAGGGTCGTGAATGGGCTGCAGCACACAGGCAACAAGGGCTCGTGAATGGGCTGCAGCACACAGGCAACAAGGGCTCGTGAATGGGCTGCAGCACACAGGCAACAAGGGCTCGTGAATGGGCTGCAGCACACAGGCAACAAGGGCTCGTGAATGGGCTGCAGCACACAGGCAACAAGGGCTCGTGAATGGCTGAGGGAAACGTGAATAGCTCAAGGAGGTGACTTTTCTGAAACGTACCTTCAAAATCACGCCGTTCAGAATCACGCCCTTCCCTATCAGCGAGCCATTTTGTCGCGGGCAGAGATGAAGCTTTCATTCCAGCCTTCATTCCAGCGGCGCTTCAGAAATGGTCAGAATGACGCGCTTTTGTTTCATACGATCCTCACCTTTGGCCCCTGTTGTTGATCCTACGGTTGAGTATGTTTTTTAATAATTCTCAAAAAACATTCTCAGCCTGTTGTTGATCCTACAGATAACTTTTTAGTCGACTAAAAAATAGAGCGACTCAAAAAACTCCCACGGTCCTCACCTTTGACCATTGACGTTGATCCTACAGTTCCGCCTCCTCCTATTGATCCAGAAGATGTCGCAAGGGACCTACGGTACCTCATCCTGCTCACCGTGCCATCCCCATACGTTGCCTTCATCGTCTGAACCACTGTAACGGGCACGGGAGAGCGTGTGCAGAGAAGGGTTTAGGGACGACGTGAGGGGAGGCGACGTGAGGAGGAGGCGTAAGAGTTGGCAGAAATAAACCAAGACGCCAATGCGAATAATAGCCGGTGAGAGAACAGAGACTGACCGGCGATGAGGGTAAGGGCGAGGAGCAGCAGTCCGGCAGCAGTCAGTCCCGCAGAGGCAACCATCGACGCCATGGTGGTAGAGCGGGCGGAAGAGGCGGCGGAAGAGGCGGCGGAAGAGGCGGCGGAAGAGGCGGAAGATGAGGCGCACTGATGCTAACAGAGGCACGTTTGTGCTGTGACGTGCGGGTCACGGTGAAGCGCGCCGAGTGCAGGTTGAAGTTGCCGTTGGAGATCACTAGGTGCGGTGGGTTGAATGGAGGCGATTCCAAGGCAAGAGCCCAGTGAAAGAAGAGAATCGAAACGGGAATGGTGGAATGGCAGGAAAGGAGAATCGGGCTGCTTTTGAACTCGGGCCGCGCCGCGCCATGGTAGACGAATTGTAGGAGCTATGCGTGCTTGGCTGGAGTGAGTCTTGGGGGTGAGATACTCTGAATACGGGGAACGCGATCCGCGGTGCACGATCCATGCGACGGGTCGCCTGGCGGGGCGTCCATGCATTATGTGCATGGTGCTTGACTCGCGTGAGTTGCGGGGACGAGAGAATGCGAGACGGACGCGGTAGACGATCGTTCGCCAACCAATGGCGATTAAGTCAAGGGCTTTTTCTGTTTGTGGCTACTAATCAGGTTGAGAGAGGGGGATGATGCGACTAGCCTCTCGTGGACCAACAGAATATGGCCGATTATAATGCAACAGAGACAATACGACTATAATGCGATGTGATATTATCCGGTTGACGTCTGCTTTGAGTGGCGTTAGAAGCATATATAAGTCCACTCCGGCTCCCACTGCCATACCGAACTGTGCTCGAAGGCCGTGTTTCCTAAAAACCGGCCGTGTTTCCAAGTTCACGGAGGCGGGGCGGGAAACGGGGCTGGGTGGGAATGCCGTAGTGGATGCAGCGATCAAGCGAAAGTGCGAAACCACAGTTTCGACGTGCACGAAAATCGTGCGAGCGCAGGCACGCGCGAAACCCTTTCTGTAACACCTTTTTGAGAAAGGACGCAACCCGACCCATCTGAACACAAAACACGCCTGACCTGTATGAGCCTGAAGACAAAGTGCGATGGATTGGCTGGAAGGGGAGATGGGATTAATCGAGAAGATCGTGACCGTCCAGCCACAGCAATCGCGTTTAAATAATGCTCCCACCATTTTCTTAGAAACCAGGGAGTAATCGGGGCTCGTGTCAAACATCAGGGTCTCCAGAGCCTCAATTTCTGGATCATCGAAACTTCCAGAGCGTCCATTTTCCCGTCGCATAGGCGGCTTCGGGTCTCCCAGGACCGCTGTGTAACTTCGTAACAAATACAACTTGCCCCTGCAGAGGTATTTTCCAGCCCCCCGTTTCAGCAGCACACGGTGCCTGCTTGACAGGCCCTGCCCTGCCCTGTCGCAACTCCAGATCTCAACAAAAAAAAGCTTTCTGGCGATTCTATCTATGGCGTCTCTACATTGCACGATCCGCGCTGTCTGCCTCTTTCCCGCTGCCAGCTCATCGCGTCTCGGGTCTTCCTTTAGGAGATTATCGGCATTGGCGCGCTTACCCGAGAAGAATAGTTGCAGTCAGTCATTTCGTGAATCTAGTGCTCCTATCGGGTGTTTACGTCGATCTATTGAGTCTCCTCCATCGCGCTCGTTACGGGAACGCTTGCTTCGGTCACCTTCGTTACAATCACGTTCTGCATCAGCATCTCCCTCGTCCATAGTGGCATCGGCTGCGTCTAGAGAAGGATCAGCATCGGCATTAGGTGCTGCTTCGTTACAGTCCGCTCCGTTATACGATGCAGTGCTTGTAGACGTCGGAGGGACGCTGCTGAAAACCGCTGAGCCCGTTCAAGACACGTACGCCGCATACGCCGGGAAATACGGTTCGTTATAAGATAAATAATTGTTTCTTTGTCAGCACTTCGCTCTACATTGACGTTACGATTGCGGGGATTGAACTGACGGGCCCTTGATTTGCGCGTCATGTGCTCGGCTTCCCAGGTGTGACTGTATCGGCGGACGAAATTAAGAAGGGATTCAGACGAGCGTTCGCGGAGCCATGGCCTCACGGTCTGAGATACGAGGCATGTTTCTGAGTACCTTGCTAGAAGTATTATAATAAAAAATACCATGAATTTAAGTGCCACGCCTGTAAGTCTCATGGCTGTAAATATTCCTTTAAGCCATATCTCTTTGCATACTACTATCTTGCCATAACCTGCTCTGACTCGCCTCACCTCATTGTCCTCCGCTTCCTACCCTCGCCATTCCTTTGGTTACCCCTCCCTCCCTCCCTCCCTCCCTCCCTCCCTCCCTCCCTCCCTCCCTCCCTCCCTCCTTCCCTCCCTCCTTTCCCCCCAACTCAGATCCCTCATTCTCCTCCCCGTGCTTCCCCTGCCTCCCTGCCTCCCACCCACCACCCACCAGGGCGACGGGCGGCCGTTTTGGCGGCATGCAGTTGCCATGGCAACAGGGTCTGACAGCCAAGAGCTATTTGAAGAACTCTACCAGGTATGCTATAGATAGAAAGTCGAGTGCAAATGACTCATTCGCGTTCCTGTTCCTGGAGCAGACAACATGTGAGCCGACCGACTGTTACTCACTCACTCACTCACTCATTTTTGTTCCTGCTTCTCCCTCCCCACCCCATTGCAACCCACCCTGCCAGCTCTGGCAGCACTACGAGAAGGCGTCGGCATGATGAGAGACGCGAGGGTGTCAGACGGTGCAGTGGAGCAGATGACGCGCGAGCCAACTCACTCACTCACTCTCGTTACTGCTTCGCACTCCCCACCCCACCTCACTAAACCCTAAACCCGCCCCGCCCACCACTGCAGCACTGTGCGAAGGCGGCACGTCAGCATGGAGGGTGGCAGAGGGTACTGTGGAGCAGGTGACGCGCGCGCCAACTCGCCTACTCCCTCCCTCACTCACTCACTCACTCACTCACTCACTCACTCTCGTTCCTGTTTCTGAACTGAACCTCCCGTCCCGGCAGCACTATGAGAAGGCGTCGGCATGGAGGGTGTCAGAGGGTGCTGTGGATGCTCTGTTGAGGCTCAAGCAGGCAAATGGTGAGCCGAGCGTGCGTTTCTTTTGAACATTTTCAAAAGAAGACTCAAGCAAGCCAACGGCGAGTGGACCAAAGCTGCGTGAGTGCCTTGCACCGATTCAGGCGCACCAATGCTGACTGAAACCCTAAAACTGAGGTGCCTAGGAGGGTAGCTGAGGTGCAGTAGATGGATGCACAGGTGTATTTTGAGTAGTAGATGGATCCACGCAAAATACACCTGTGCAGTAGATGGATGCTCGCGCGTGAAGCTCAAACAAGCCAATGGTGAGCAAGAGATGAGCCGACTCTAACGGGAAAGTCAGGGCAATAGGGTCACAAACATGCTTCATTGCTTTCCAACCGCCTGGTGACTTTACTCACGCTTTCATGTTTCGTGTTTCGTAGCACTGGATAGCTGCTCCGGGTTTCGTGTTTCATGTTTCGTGTTCCTCTCTCCCCTCCCCACATATGAGCCCCCCCAGTCTTCCTAGCAACTGTTCCGACCTTTTTCCGTTTCTTCGCACTAGATGTATTTGCGCTTCTTTGTTTCCCTCCTCCCCACCCCACCTCGCTCTTTGCTCAGTCCGCCTGGCGATTGTGTCAAACTTCGACTCTAGATTGCGCCCGATTCTGCGAGGCCTTGAGTCCTTGCGAGTTGCATGCCCCTTCTTAGCAAGTTGTGTAACATTGGTTTGCTGCTCTCCGCTGTTCCTTCCTCTCCCTGTCTGCCCCTCCAGTCCGCCTGGCGATTGTGTCCAACTTTGACTCCAGATTACGCCCGATCCTGCGGGACCTACAAGTTGACTCGCTGTGAGATCATCCTTCCTCATTCACAATCTGCATAGGATTGGCTCTCTGGGAGTTTTTCCTTTGTCTGGGCTACTGTGGTGACAAAAATTCTTCAAAAAAAAGCTTGTCCGTTTCATTATGTTACTCCCTTTTTCTATTTTATTCATTCGATGACTTAGTCCCTCCCCATCCTTCTGTTATCTGCCTTGCGGAATCTGCCCTCCGCAGGTTTGATGCGATTGTCGTCTCGGCTGAAGTGAAATACGAGAAGCCATCCCCAGAGATATTCGCCATTGCTCTTGGTAAACAGCTAGTTCTTTCTACTCTTGGTAAACAGCTAGTTCTTTCTACTCTTGGTAGAATGGGGGAATGGGGATTTGAGATGGTCTGAGGTCTCTTTCCCTGCGGTCGAATTTGGGAAAGAGAAGGTCAGTCAAATTTGAGGCAAAGCAGCACAGGAAAAGTTTGCATTTGCCCTTGGGAAGCGGCACTTGCTCTTGACTGGGAAGAGGGCATTTCTGTTCACTTTTCCCCACCAACCCCGCCCTGGCCGTCCCCCTCCCACCCCTTCCTCCTTCACTTCTCCTCCCCACCGTTTCTGCTGCTTATCCACAACAGAGCAACTCGGCATGTCATCCCCCACTCGAGTGGTGCATGGAGGGGATAACAGAGCAACTCAGACATGTGAGTTGCTCTGTTGTAGAACACAGCAGGTTAGTTTTGAGGCCCGGCAGTGGCTCTTCCCTCCTCCTCCCCCTTCCGCGCTCCCTCTCCTTTCCCCCCACTTCCCCTCCTCACCTTTTCCCTAACAGAGCAACTCGGGTGTGTAGGCTCCCAGTCGCGCAGTGCATGTGAGGGATGATGCATTGAACTACTTCAAAAGTTGCCCCAATACAATAATTCTCCATCTTCTACTCCCCTTACCCCTCCCCTTTGCTTTGTTTCCCCGTGTCCCCCTCCTCCTCCTTCTCCCCATAAAAGAGGAACTAGGCGTGTCGTCTCCCAGTCGTGCGGTGCATGGGGGGGGGCGAACGATGCAGTGAACGACGTGGATGGCGGTGGCCAAGGAGAAATTGAAGTGTTTCTTTGCCCCCGCTTCCCCTTCTTGGCTTTCCCCTACCCACAGAGCAACTTGGTGTGTCGTCTCCCAGTCGTGCAGTGCATGTGGGGGATGATGCAGTGAACGACTTACAAGGAGCCATGGATGCTGGCCTGCATGCATGGTGAGTAGTGCTGACATGTGAGATGGGTGAACCACTGGAAGGGTGGTCTACATGCCTTCTGTATGATTTTCCCAGACGAGACAAGGTATGCTTGTGGGAGGGATGATGCAGTGAACGACTTACAAGGAGCCATGGATGCTGGCCTGCATGCATGGTGAGACGTGCTGACATGTGAGACTATAGAGAATTTGAGGTCTACACGTATTTTGTATGAGAGAATGTTTACTGTATGGAGGTTTTTTTTTGAGAGCTGTGCATGTGGGAGAAGATGCAGTAGTTGACTTGAAAGGGGCCATGGAATGGCTGCTGGCGGCATGCATGCATGATGAGATGTGTTTGACATGTGAGGTCGGTGATTGACTGATGTGATATGCGTGTATATTGTATGGAGTTTCCCTAGACGAGTTGTGCATGTGGGGGATGGTGCAGTGAATGACTTCAAAGGGTCAATGGAAGCTGATATGCGTGCATGGTGAGACATGGGGAAGTGAGACATGAGGCATGGGAGAGTGCGTGTGATTTGTTATGTTTGCTCATTGTTCATGTTTTGTCGCGCGATTTCTGTCTCCGCGCAGGTTGTGGAAACAGGACGTTAAATCTTTTGATGATATCACACAACGGGTCCTTGGGTTGTAGGCCGGATGTAAATGAGTGGCTATGTGTAGTGATGTGTTGACACCCATTTTTACATTATTATCTTGAACATCATTATGTGGCGATTTGTATATTTGTACCTCAATCCGACGGTTCAGATTTCAGTTCGTTTCTCTATCGCGTACGTAGTCCATCAAGTTTCTGTTCTTCGTGAGCCAGGGAACCCAGCCATCAATAAAGTTCTTCGCATAAGCTTGTAAAGGTATTCGCAGATGTTACCATCACGCAACAAAGTTTCGCCGAAGTCGGAGTCCCCAATGTTCCTTCTCGAATCTACCAGCGCTCCTTCCCTACCGACCTGCCATTCTCTCAGCTAGAAGTAGGTCCTACTTACGATAATCCCGCGCTCGCGGCTCGTCCAATCACTCGGCGACATCGCTTCCTCCAGTTGTCCTCACGTACAGCAAATTTCGGTTGTCGCGCGATTCGTGTACATATAGATATTCGTCTTTAAGGGCACATGCCACGCGCCATTTATTGATTATTGATTATTTTTGTTATTGTTATTCTTTCCTGAATCGGCGTTCTCTCGTGTAGCGAAGTAAGCGTCGATCTGCCTGCTGATTTCTTGGACTTTGCCAATCAATGGCCACAGCGACCTCGTGCCAGTCGTTAATCTGCGGGCTGGGAATCCTCGCGTGCTCGTGCTCCTTCGTCGTCGGAGTGCTGATCGCCGCGAGGGAACCACCGGAGAAGCTTAAGGTACCATCTTCGTATCCTGAGTCATCCTGAATGTAGTTACTCAGCTCTCTCTTCTATTATCCACCCTCGTCGTACATTCCCGTGCCAGTCTCTGTCGTCTCCTCGCGTGCTCGTGCTCCTTCGTCGTCGGCGTGCTGATCGCCGCGAGGGAACCACCCGAGAAGCTCAAGGTATCATCTTCGTATCCTGACGCGCCATAAAATCAGCTTAGCCTACGTTATTAAGGCTGTCGTACAGCTTTGACACGTATCAAGGTTCCAGTTTTGAGTCCCGCGCGTGAAGAATTCGTGTTCTGAAGCGCCCTTGCAAGTGGTTGTTTTCTCTCTGCTATTATCCACCCTCCTCCTCCATCCTCCTCCCAGTCTTTGTCGTCTCCGTTAGGTTACGTCTTTTCACTATACAACAACCACCACCTCCATCCCTCTTCGCCCGTCTCCACCCCTCCCCACCGCACTCCACTCCCACATTCTCAGATCGACAAGTACGTCCCTGACGTCGAATCTCCGTACCGGCCATTCTTCAAGCCGCCGTCTCTCCTCCACACATCTAACAATCCCTCTTCTAGCTCCAAGTCTCTCAGCCTCTTCGGCAGCTTAAAGCCCACCGAGGTCTTCGCTGAGACGCAGCCTCCAGAGCTTCAGCACATGGGGGAGGAAAAGGAGGCGAAGATTCCCAGACGCTGGCTGGGACGGGCGGGAGGCGGCCGCGGGATTGGAAAAGGAGAGAAGGGAGGGAGGGGAGGTAGAAGTATCCGTGGTGACAGCGGCGGCTCCTATAACAGCGGCGGCTCCTTTCGGAGCGATCGACTCACAGATCGTCCAAACAGCCCCGACCAAGACAACTTTGTGGAAAGATACCCCCGGAACCATTCCCAAGGGCACACCCAAGGGTATTCCCACGAGTACACCCAAGAACATTTCCATGGGCATTCTCAAGGGAATATGAATGGGTATTCGCGAGGGGTTGAGCCTGGGCAGGCTGTGTATTCACCTGCTCAGCAGAACTCGTTTCCAACCCATCTTAACTCCCCTCGCACTCCCTCTTACCCCTCCCACCCATCTCACCTCTCTCACCCATCCCACTCCTCCTATCCTTCCTACACACCTCACCCTTCCACCCCATCTCACCTGAACTCCAATTCTCCCTCCCCATGGGGTCCTTACTCCCCCCACCCTCAATCCCCATCCATGCGCCCTTATGCCCACACGCCCCCAAACCACCATCACCACCCCTCCACGCCCTCCCACCCCCCTTCCATGCCACATTATTACCCCTCCCACATGCCCCATCCCTCGCAACATCCACCATTCCATCCGCAACACCATCAATCATATCAATCACCAGGGTACCCTCACTATCCGTCATGCACAAGACCACCCAACTACCAGGGTTATCCGAACCATCCAGGTGCTGTAGCAGCAGGGGTAGGGGGTCCCTCTCCCTATGCCAGTCACCCCGGCACCCCCAGGACTCCAGGTTGAATTCAGAGGCATTTGAATGTTGTAGCCGCAGGGGTAGGAGGCCTTCTCCTTTTGCCAGTTACCCCAGCACCCCCAGGGCTGAAGTATTATGAAGGACATTTATATTTCATAACAAAGGGGTGGTCCTTTTTTCCAGGCCAGAGCGCAGGCTAACGAGCGGCAGCAGGGACGGCAGAGGGGGGGCCTTCTTGGGGGGTATGGAGGGCCTCTTATCATAGGAGTCCTATGGTTGTGGCTTACTACTAGCTGCTGGGAGAGTAGTGTATTATATTGTGCTGTAACGTATTACTAGCGTACTGTACATGTTGCCCTCTGTGATGTGGGAAATCAATGGCCAAGTGTGCAGACAAGGCACTAAGCTTGCAAAACCTAGTTTAAGGGTTTAGGGTTGTAAAATGCCCATGGGCTAGTTTGCCCGTCACAGCAACTAGGACAATACATGCTTTACAATACAGCAGTGTGGTCACAAGCGGACCCTGTGGTCTGACTTTTCAAGGCTTTTCCAGGCGAGAAAAATCACAATCGGGCAGCTTCTAGCATGAAGTCGCGTGTGAGTGTAGCGAATGTTGCCATGCGCTCGCGAGTGAAAAGGGTTGTGACGAACACAAAGCTCAGCTGAAGGGCCTCATCACGTATAAAGTCACATGTGGGCTGCTTCTAGCATGAAATCGCGCGTGAGTGCAGCGAACGTTGCCATGCGCTCGCGAGTGAAGAGAGGCGTGACGAACACAAAGCTCAGCCGAAGGATCCCGTCCTGCAAGGTGGGGATTGGTTAAGGACAATGTTATACCACATGTAAAAGGCATATATGATGCAAACAAACTTGAATGCTGCCTGGACGAGTATGAGAAGAGGCCAGTGTGTATATAGCAAGATCCATGTGTGCGTGCGTGCGTGCGGGCTTTGTGTGTGCGTGTGTGTGTGTGTCTGTGTGTGCGTGTGTGTGTGTCTGTGTGTGCGTGTGTGTGTGTCTGTGTGTGTGGAAAGGGATAGTTAGGTGAACAACTGGTTCTCACCGAGAGGGTATCTGGAATGGCAATGGCAGGGCCAACCCCATGGGCCGACACAACAGGGCCAAGAACTTGCTCTAGTTGTACCAGCTCCGATCCCGTGGTTGTCAAGTGAGTTGCCTCGGCCCGAGCCTCCGCACCAGCTTCGGCATCTGGTTCGGAAAGCTGCCAGTTGACCCTGAAGGGTGCGAGCATCCCTGCCGTGATGAAGCAGGTTCGGAGAGAGTGGTCCGGGGAGAGGCTCGGCATCTTCATGGCCTGGAAAGCAAGAACCGAGCAGCAAGCAGAAAGCAATAAGGGAATGAGATAGCCGAGATCACGAACAGAATCACCAAGTTGATTGCTGAGATGGAATGCCTGTGCGCTGGTCCGTAAAACCTGATAATTTGAAACATTATAATGAGAAGGACAGTAGCTCCCCCTTCACTCCAACCTGCACGAGTACCTGTCTGTAAATCTTATGTGTCTGTAAGCTTCCAGTTGCCTTATGAGACCTTTCAGTTGTAAGTTGTAACCCGTACATCCTTCTGAATGTAACCCATGGATTGTTGCAGTTGCAATCCTTGAATCTACACGTACCGTGGAAAAAAGCAGCTCCAAAATCGCCTTGCTGAATATTTCTTCTCTGGTTCAGCAGATTTGTTATGTTATAAAAATGAGGATTTAAACTACCAGCTCATCAGTCTCTTCGTTTTTACGACTGAGACAACCCAACTTTTTTTTCCTCAAACTCCTCACGTACCGTGGAGAAGAGCAGCTCAAGAACCGGCATGTCGGTGAACTGCTGCTGCCGCTGCAGCGCTGACTCAGCATGGGCGCTGATTGACGTGGCAACGTCCCAGAGGGGCAACTTCTCAGAAACCTCTTGCTTGAGTGGCAGCATGGACATGTACTCGCCCAAGGCGGTCTGGGGAAGGGGCGGGTCGAGAACCGTGCGACAACCAATGGCACTGGAGAGGGGAGGACGGGGAGAGGGGAGGGGGAGGAGGGAGGGGCGAGAGGGTGGGGTAAACGCAAGGGAAACAAATTGCAGGGCTCTTTTTGAGAAGCAGCATGGGCATGTACTCGCCCAAGACGGTCTGGGGAAGGGGCGGGTCGAGAATCGTGCGACAACCAATGGCACTGGAGGAGGGAGGACGGAGAGGGGAGGGAAGGGGGGGGGCGAGAGGGTGGGGGAAACGGAAGGGAAACAAAATGCAGGGCTTTTTTTTAGAAGCCCAAGACGGTCTGGGGAAGGGGCGGGGTCCAGTATTGTCCGACAACCAATGGCACTGGAAAGGGGAGGGTGGTGACGGAGGGGAGGGTGGGAGGAAAAAAGTGAATATTTCATGGATTATCCGTTCACGTTTCGTCAATTTGCTTCTGATCCATTCATTGATTCAGTTACCGACTCGCTGATTGTACTCAGTCATTGCGTCTCACCTTCCGAGGCTGAAAACCTCAGTTCTGCCGCCCAGTTGCTTCATCCGGGCGGCAGCTTTGAGGCCTGCTGCGCACTCCAGGGAGAACAGGGAGCACCCGTGCGACTCCGCTGCGGCCAGAAGGGCGGCCGTTTCTGTCGTTTTGCAGCAATGGAGGGAGAACGTCGGAAAAGGGGAAGAAAGAGATTCAAGTGAATTTGGGGTCATGGGGGAGTGGGAGAGACATGTACAAGATGAATAGACAGAAGTGCTTCAGATGTTTTTGTGTTTGGGCTTTGAGACGAGCTTACCTTCTTTACTGAATGTGACTGTAACGAATTGCGTTGCAAAAGAGTTCTTCCTCGAATCAGCTCGGCCAGGCTCAAAAGGAAGGTGCGAGGAAATGAGGGCGTTGCGCACGTAGCCCACGGCGTTGAAGGCTTGCGCGAATGTGCCTTTAACGGATGCGCTCTTAACAGAGATAGACTTGGGGAGGAGCGCCGAGAGGGGAGGAGGAAGGGAAGGAGCGGCTGTCAGATCTTCAGAGGAAGTGAGGGGGAAGGAGGGAGATGGGGAAGAGAAGGAAGGAGAGGAGGTAGAGGAGGAAGAGGAGGAAGAGGAGGAAGAGGAGGAAGAGGAGGATGGGGATGATGACGAGCCGCGGTCCAGATGTTTCCTCATGCGTCGCAGTTCTTCCAGGAATTCCGCCGCGATGGGCGGCGCCGAATGCTCGTCCAGAGCGGCGATGTGCGTGCGGAGCGCGACGAGCGTGGACGAATGGGACGCGTACACGTGGACCTGGAACACGTCAACACACGCCTCGCCCTTATCTCTAATATTCGTTGCCGCGGGATGATTCCGACCGTCGATCATGGGAGTGTTTAGCTCCGTTTCGACCACACGATGCAGCAATCCATTCTGGCCATCCGGATCATCCGCCGCTGCCACGTCAGCAGTGTCACACTCGCTCACGGTGATTGGTTGAGGAGGTCGGCACACGTGGAGCTCGGGCCGTTGGGACTTGGGCGGCTTGATAATCCGGGCAGACAGGACGGGGTGCCGGGCAGACAAGGATTCGAAGGCTGCCCGAACCTGCGGGTAAGGAGGGGGAATCGTTCGCGGAAGAGAGGGATGGCAGATTCGGGAATGGCGGAATGGGGATGACGGAATGCGGAAAGCGAGAGCGGAAATTACAGCGCCAGCAACGCAGAGGCTTACCTCGTCAATGCTGACGCCGCCGGTCAACGGCCGGCTAAGAGCTGCCAGTCCGTCAACTCCACATCCCTGCCGGCCGCATGCTGGCAGAGCAGTGGCTGCCGCGCCGGCGCCACCCCATAACCTTGAGATTGCCGAGGTTTTCGCGGCGGCGCGAAAATCGTAGGATTGCTCCGAAGAAGCAGAATAGAAAGCTTCGGAAACATGATGATTGAAATGGGTGGATTCGGGGTTGACGATGCTGGCCTTATTCTGGAATGGCGTATCATGCGAATGGGATGACGCTCCAGGCAGGTCAAATGGGGATTCATTTTTGACAGAGCAGGGTTGGGACCAGGAGCGGTCTGGCGTCAACGGTGATGTCGGTGATAAGCGACTCGAGTCCATGGCGGTTTGTAGAGTCGGAAGGTACAGGATGCGAGATTTACCAAGTCCTAGTTTGAGGCAATAGCTACGGTGCGCGTAAACCAACTGAAGTCGAAGTGATATTAAGAGTCTGAGATGATCTGCGAAAGTGACGGAGTGAGAGACAGGAGAAACTGATGGGCAATAAATACATGGAAGCACATCAGTTTCATGGACTGACGAAGCAACTGAGCAAGAATTTGTGACCGTCGGTCGGTGCCTGAAACGCTCCTTATGAAGCATATTGCAGTGGTTCCTGAAAATTTCTTCTCAATTCATCCATAACCCTGAGCCAAATTCCTGTAAACCAGAAATTTGAGTACGGTCAAGAACGGTCTTACACGTTCTTACGTGGTGCGTCCGCGTAATGCGTTGTTCTGCACAAATTTCGCGATGATGAACACCGTTTCCCGAGGCGCACAATGCTGGACGTGGTCTTGACGCGGGAGCCGAGGTGTCGTCGCGACTCGATTGCCCACGTGAGAGTTCACGATGCGAACAGCTAGCAGTCTATCGAAAAACTTGAAACTCGACGGACTGTCCATCGAGCTGGATTCGACCAATCCGAGAAGGCATCTTCGGACAGCCGGGCGACGAAACGAACTTCGACAGACGAGCTGGACATTTTGCTGGCAGCTCGTTGCTACGCTGGGACGAGCAATCAGCAGCGATTGGAGAGGGCAATGACGGTCAGAAGTGCTTGGTCGTTATGCACTGCACAGCTACAGTATTAGCATCCCTCATGCAATGTAATATATGGAGTATAACTTGGTAATTCGGGAAAAACTAAAAACAAAGCAAATATTGTAGCTCAATCAAGCCATTACTATGTGCACGGTTTAAGAAATCCAAGAGTATGGTGAAGTGCAAATTGGTACACATATTGCTATGTCTTATGCGGTGGAGAATGTTATCTCACACATTGGTATGCAAGGGTGACAAAGATATTGGGAATCTACTCGAGAGCTCGATAACATCAGTTACATACAGGGCCCACGTTTGTCAAAGGTCCACTGGAGATCCCCGATGATCCTAGGGAAGGGTTACAGGCCCGTTGGCCTGGGGGGTTATGGGCGCACTCACCCGCTATATAAATAAGCCCTTTTATCCCAGTGGTTAGTGGCTGGGATTCTGACATGGTATCAGAGCGAAGGTCTCGGGTTCGATTCCCGGTGTGTGCACTTCGGGCATCCCAGTGCGGGGGGGTGTCAGAGGTCCACTGGAGATCCCCGATGATCCTAGGGAAGGGTTACAGGCCCGTTGGCCTGGGGGGTTATGGGCGCACTCACCCGCTATATAAATAAGCCCTTTTATCCCAGTGGTTAGTGGCTGGGATTCTGACAACGTTATCAGGGCAAAACATCCTGATTACCTTGAATTCAGGATGCAGTTTTGTATTTACCCTGCAATTTCAGAATAGTTTCAATTTTAACCTTGAGGTCACAGAATGTTTTTATCTGAAATGACCTGAACATTCAGGATGGCCGTAGTGTGTCAGAATCCCAGTCACTAACCACTGGGATAAAATGGCTTGTTTATATAGCGGGTGAGTGCGCCCATAACCCCCCAGGCCGACGTGCCTGTAACCCTTCCCTAGGATCGTCGAGGATCTCCAGTGGACCTCTGACATAGTGTTCTTCCTTGTAGCGTCAGGATGAATGTCGAGGCCTGCCCTGACGCGGATTTTGGGGGGTGGGGGGGGAAGGGGGGGGGGGGGGGGGGGAGGGAGGGGGTAAGGGGGGGTGTTCCGTTTCGGGGGGGAATTTTTTCCCCGAGGATTTTTGTCTCCGTTGAGATTTTGCCCCGTGTACTGGCCTCTTGATATAAGGGTGAATCACCCTTTTGACCCTTACTATAAGGGTGTGTTTTGATTTGGACCCTTACTTTACAAAGTGGATTTTTTTCTAACACTTACAGGAAAAAGTGAATTTGTTTAGGACCCTGATATTTCAGAATGAAGTGGTGTAGTCGCACTGATCGGGAACATACATCCTCCTCAAAAAGTAGACAAATAGCTCGAAGAACAGAGTCCCATGGAAAGCAATGCTCACTAAATGCCTCCGACAAGTATTGATCCCGCGTCCCTTTCACAACAAGACCCACTGTGCTAAGTCGCCACGCTAATGGACCACTAGTTATAAACCATAAAACGTTCTTGCTTGGTTTAAACCCTTACAAAAAAGAGTGGTGCTTGCTTGATACCCTTACAGAAAGAGTGAAAGCAGCTGGTTACCCTTATGACAAAGACTGGTTCAAATCCTATCCAGAGGCCTGCCCGTGTATGTTTTCCGCCTTCGCACGATCTCTTCCCCTTGACAGTTCTGTTCCGATCCCCCGCAACACCAGCCAAGCCAAACCCATCACCCACCGCCAAGGCAATTCGGCCTGTGCCTGGCTAGCACTAGCTGGGTTTCTCACGCTGATGTTCAGCGCTGCAGCGCTGCGGCTGCTCTGCTCTGCTAAACAGAGTCTGGTCTGGTCTGGTCTGTGTGTGCTAAAATCAGAACCCTGAACACGATTATTTTTGCCCTGACAGGTCAGGATTAGTTTCTGCTGCAGCCCTGAGCTGTCAAGATAGTAGGCGAAAACGAGAAATAGGCAAAGAGGGGTTTCACTAGCAGTAGGTAGGATACATATAGGAAACCCTAGTTTGGGTTGTACTCACTATAGAGTACCCCACTGCAGACTAGACAAACATAATATTCTGACACACCCCTATAGTCAAAGTGGGGTATAATCAGCACAACAAGCAGGCATAGCAATAGTTCACAATGATACGCAAAGCTAGAGACTATCATAGAGGGCAAGTGAGGAGGAGGAGAAACTGTGGGGGCGAGAAGATGGGAGGCGACGGTTGAAGCTGCAGACACACGGGCACCAGGAGTGCGCAGCACTGACGCTACCAGGCTAAACCCGGACTACACGGCGACAGGCGCAGCTGGCTCGCTGTGCTCCCAGGAGTGCTCACACTGTGGCTACCAGGCGCAGAGCCCCGGACTACTCAGGCCACAGCGGGTCGTGGCTCTCTGGACTACCAGGAGTGCTCACACTGTGGCTACCGGGCGCAGAGCCCCGGACTACTCAGGCCACAGGGGGTCGTGGCTCTCTGGACTTCAGGCGCTGCGGACGACAAGACGATTGCCTCCACTCAACTTCCTCCAGCTGTCCCAAAACCCTTTCACACACCCTCTGCTGTACCTCTAGCACTGCTCACACGCCACCCCCCTAGTACCACTCCGACGGCTCCAACACACCCACCCCCCTCAGCGGCAGCTGCAGCAGTGGGAGCCGGAGGAGGAGGAGGAGCAGGGGACGGCGCACACACCTATCACCCCCATACTCGCCACCCCCAAACCCTAAAACAGGAGCGCGGGCAGCAGCAGGGGTGGGGCGCGGTCAGCAGCTCGGGGGACGGCGTGCGCAGGTCGAACGAACCGCGCGCGGGCCGCCCGGGCCGCGCGCGGACCTGGCGCAGCCCGTACGGGCCGCGCGCGGGCCTGGCGCAGGTCGTACGGGCCGCGAACGGCCCGCGCGGGGCCCAGGGGCGCTTCGACGGGCGACGGGGGCGTTTCGACGGGCGACGGGGGCGCTTCGACGGGCGACGGGGGGAGGGGGGGGGGGGGGGGGGCGCTTCGACGGGCGACGGGGGGCGCTTCGACGGTGGGAAACCGCCGCGCGCCTCGGGGCGCACAGCGGGCAGAAAACCGCCGAGCTTTCGGAGCGCGCGGCGAGCAAAAAATCGTAGAAACCCAAAAAACGCGGCAGGCTGAAAACGTCACGCGCCCAGGAGGGTCGACCTGCTCTGATACCATGTCAAGATAGTAGGCGAAAACGAGAAATAGGCAAAGAGGGGTTTCACTAGCAGCAGTTCTGTAGGATACATATAGGAAACCGTAGTTTGGGTTGTACTCACTATAGAGTACCCCACTGCAGGCTAGACAAACATAACATTCTGACATGAACAATCAGGAAGGCTCTGAAGATTTTGTTAAACTGTTATATGTTGGTAGGCTGTAGTGGGGTAGCCAGTATGGGGTACAACCCCAACTAGGGTTAGCTACTTGTACCCAACTGTTTCATTCAATGCACCATTCTCACGCTAGTATTCTGATATGGTATTCAGAGCAGGTGGTCCCTAGGACCATCCGATCGTTTTTTTTAGGGCCCACCACCGCACGCTGCGGTTACCGCGTTACCCCCGCGCCCTACCCTCGTAGCGCCCTCGTTGCGCTCTAGCGCCCTCGTAGCGCCCTTTGTAGCGCCCTCGTGCGCCCTGCCGACCGGCGTCCTGCCAGCCCAGAGCCCCGCGCGCCTCCCCTGCTTTGCCCGTCGCGCCGCCCGCTCTGCCCCGCGCTGCCCGTCGCGCTGCCTCGCAGCCCCGCGCACCGCCCGCTGTGCCCCGAGCCGCCCGTCGATCTGCTGCGCAGCCCCGCGACCCGCCCGCCCTGCCCCGCGCTGCTCGTCGCTCGGCTCTGCAGCCCCGCGCGCCGCCCGCTCTGCCCCGCGCAGCCCAGCGAGCTGCCTTGCAGCCCCGCGCGCCGCCCGCTTTGCCCCACGCCGTCCGTCGCGCTGCCCGCCCGCCCGCCGTGCTGCCCGCTTGCGGAGTCGCCCGCCTGTCGCGCTGCCCGCCTGCAGCGCCGCCTGCCTGCCGCGCTGCCCACTTGCAGAGCCGCCCGTCCGCCGCGCTGCCCGCTTGCAGCGCCGCCTGCTGCTCCCTGCCCGTGCGCAATTGCCCGCCCCTGCTGTGGTAGCTTGCGTTGCTCTGCCGTACTGTCGTTATGGCTTCCATCCGCGTGCTTTCGTTCGATGCTGAGGGCCGCCCTGTGCAGTTCACCACTTGGCTAGATGACCTGCAGCTGTTCCTCCTGAGCGATAGCAAGGAGCATGTGTCGCTCTATGATTACGCGTCTGGTGCTGCACCTGCCCCTCCTGCCACAGCTGAGCTTAGTGTTCGTTCCCACTGGCAGACTCGTGACGCAGCT